CACAAGAGTTCATCTTTCCAAACATTTTCGGTGTGGGATCAAAATGATCTCATATCATTTACAAATGAGAGCCATTTGTCTTTTTTTTTTTATTAATTTTATTTTGGTTGTAGTTTTTGTTTGGATTATTATTATTATTATTATTATTATTATTATTATTATTATTATTATTATTATTATTATTATTATTATTATGTAACTCGCGTAGCTTTCAGCGATGCAGATGGTATTAATTCATTGTACTTCAGTAGGTTGAGAAAGTAGTTATGAACATATACTACATTATAACAGAATTAATAATATTTAAAAAAAAAAACAAATTATTATTGGACATAATTTTCTAAACTATTATTCCGTTAACAAAATTTGAAATCAAAATTTTACTTGAGAAACTATACATATTTCATTTGAAGCACAAAATTTTACTCTGTATTTTATATATATTCTCTCCGTCTCATTTTATATGTCGGGTATAGTTAATCAGGTTTGACTGAAGTTATTTATAGTTTAATTTTTTATAATATTAAGTTTAGAATTAGTATGTAAAATTTATATATTTAAAAATTACATTAAAAATATTATTAAACACACAAAATTAGTCAACAAATTTGTAATCAACCAACGTGACTCTTCAAAATGGGAGATCACAAATGTGAACCTTAGCGTCTATGTATGAACTATGACATTATAGAAATTGATTGATGAACAAGTAATTCAAAGTGTTGAAAAAAACAAAAATGTGTGCATGTGCAATTATACATATATAAAACTGATCTAATCTGCAGTGGGTAGAGCGAGCAGTGATGTGAAAGTCGCAACTATATAATGGTGATGGGTAATAAAGCAAACATAATATAACAACCTTTTCTATAAATCATTTGATTTGATTTCTCATCGTCCACCAAAAAGATGGGGATGGACAACCTACATTATATTACATGTGCTCCCTCTATATATATATATATATATATATATATATATATATATATATATATATATATATATATATCATCATTCGTATGATTAATACTAATATATGGAGCATTATATAAGTATGGACTATGGAGTAGTATTTTTTATTGTTTGATGACGAGAAAAATTTACAGACACTATTCAAAGGTGTGTACAACGTGATTAACTTGTACTATAAAAAAAAATTGCAAATCGCAATATTATATTAAGTATTAAAAATAAGAAAAATGTGTTATAAGATTTATGCTACAATAAATTAATATGCACTTTTGGTACGGTGCATATCCGTGCCTATCTAGCTAGAACAAACAGAAAATTAAAGATTTTTAAGTATATATTGAGGACAATTCAAGCTGAAATCTTTTACATGGGAGAGAACGATGGAGTACAGTTAAAATAGTTAGAGAGTGATGGTGAGAATGAAGCAATTGGATTTCTCCAATCATATTTATTTAGTGGGAGCAGTGGATTGCTACGTCGGTAGTAGTTCTTTCAAACGACTCTTTGGAGAGAAATTAGAATACGTGGTGATTGAATTGCCTGGAACATGTACCCATAAAATATTTGAATATAACTTCTGATATTTTATTATTGTGAAATTAATTTAAATTTAATTCGTATCTCCACCTTATAAGTTATAATTGCATTTGTGTTCGAAACTCTTGAATCATAAAAGATTTTTATGAGAAATCTTTAATAAATTCTCGTTACTTTTTTTTTTTATTTGATTTTACATGGCATAAAATATACAATAGGACACAGTGCATACAGACATGCCCTGAAAATGATTGTTGATACCTCACATGGTTAGAGAGTGATGCAAATGATTAATTAATTAAAAGGAATAAGGGTCAAATATGTTATCAAATTGCACACGATAATATAATTAGGTCACTGAATCCAAAAACACTAACAATTGCGTTCTAAAACTAACCAATTTCAAACAATTCTTCCAATTTGAAGGTTTCCAACAGGTCAACATGTCATCCTCCCAAATTAATTATTAAAATTTTAAAAAAAATAAACAGAATCCGGCCGGAGACGAATAAACCTTTTTCGTCTTCGGCCGGTTTCTTCGTCTCCGACTATTGACTCTTTGTGCTTCAATAGGTTGAAAAAATATGTATGGACAGATATTACATTGTATAGAGTCAGTAGTTTTTTTGTTTTTTTTTTTTTTTAAAAAAAAAATTAGTATAAGATATTTTGTGATATGTTATGCAATTTTGATCTCTAGCAGTAGTCTTCTGGTCTTTTTTTTTTTTTTTTCAAAAATTTATTTATTTTATGATTAATTAACTATCGTCTCTTTTTATAAGTGCATGTTTGGGGGGGCATGTCTCTATGAAATATCAAAGCAGGAAACATATGAGTGCGGAGTAGAGATGCGTGCACGACTGCATCAAGTACTGTGCATTTTCGTGTTGTGGATAGACACAAATTAAATAGGCCGCCATGGATAAAGTCGCAAGTTTGGCTGTCAACGAGCTATCTAAAGATTGTTTGGCCATGGATTATTACAGTACGTACAGGGAATTAAATACTCTGTACAAGTCATCTGTAAACCACCCTAGCTAGCATGCATTAAGTTTAGTACATTTGTGTTTGTTTCCACGAAAGCGGCATTTTATTGCTCTCAAAACTCTTTAACATAGTCGTTTCTGTAACTTTACCGTTGCATTCTTTACTTTTTTACCAATTGTTTCAAGTTGTTGAGTTTATTAAATTTAAATCATTTGTAATTGAATTATATGTCATACGATCAGAGACAGCGAAGGTCGCTGGGTGGCAGGCTTTTTGTATAGCATGGTTGTTGCTCACCACTTGAAGCCGAGACTTGGGCTCTGTTGAGCATGTCGCCATTAATGTGCAATCCAACTATCAGCTTAGGCTTTTAGTTGAGATGGAGCACATGCTTCAATTTGGTATCAGAGCCAGACAAAAGGTCATGGGTTCGAATCTGAGCGCCACTGGTCAAACACCTCGGCTTCGAAACTGATTCCAGAGATCTATATGAAAGCTTCAACACCAACCAGGCCTAGAGGTTGTTGCTAGCAGTCGCTAGTACTATATAATCCACGGGACACTCTTGGGTATTCCCTCCATATAGATATAAAAAAAAATGTTATAATACTTTTTTTTATTAGTTACGACTTACGAGTAAATTGATGTGTCTAGTTATATTAAAATTATGTTAAATAAATTTAAAAATCTAAATATGCACTCTATTTGATGCTAATTTAGGTTACCCATACTTGACCAACTTAAACTAAAAATGTCAATAGACAATTCTCACATAGACTCAAACTTAAAATTTTATGGTTACCAAATTAACTGTCGAACCAACACGATTGAGATTATTCTGTAATTACAAACTTGCCATTATTAATGGGGGACAATCCATTGTCAGTCAATGTAATACAAATTTTAATTAATTAAGTAATTCTAAATATTACAATATAATCCTAATTAATCTGAGAAATATATCTAAACTAGCGGGGACCAGATGACAACATATAACAAAACGCGTATGGTTGATGAAGAAATTACGTGCACGGCCTTTTTATGCGTGTTATATCTTTTGTACGAAGTACTTGTATTGACAAATATGTATGTATATAGGCCATATATGAGTCAAAATAGAAATAAATAAATGAAAAGTCAATATAATTTTTTTCTCTAAATGTCTCAACCATATATTTATTTATTTATTTAATTTCCCTTACTTTAAGAGGGAAATGTCGACCTATTCAATGCATATATAAATGCATTTTATGGCCATGGCGGGGCCTCAGCTCAATTTTTCCACCTGCAATCCTGCAAATCTGCAATTTAACCAACTACATTAATATGCATAAATTGCCCTCTTTAGGGTTCAGGAGTTCAATTTTTTATAATATTATATAATATTAATATCGAATGTGAAAAAAAAAAGTGCGCTAAAATTAAAAAATGGTGCATGCTCAACCATACCTACTTGCACAACTTATACAAAGTTATAATTAAGTATATACACCACATTTTTTGTGTACTTATAAAGTTATAATCTCCCTATTTTTTTTTTATGTTTCAAATTTTCTTTAACCTATATTAAAAATTTTAAGTGCTGCTACTTCCTTTGTAGAAGACATAGGCACATAGGAAGTAGCAGCACTGAATATTTTTAATATATTTTCAAACATTCCCCAAATTATCCTTAAGGGGGTATTTACTTCAAGTTATATAATAATATTATTAGAGTATTGTGTACATAGCTAGTTATATTCTATATATAATATTGTTTAGTTGAAGTTATTATAAAATTAGTGCGACATAAGAACATGACGTAAAGTGTAGCTGCTAGATTGTGTACGTGATGATTACCTCTCATTTCTTAGACATTGTAATACTATTTTAAAATATTTTAAATTTGCCCTTTATAGTGTGTACATTATATTATTCTTTTTTTTTTTTTTTTGAATGCTACTAGCTCTATTACATTGTAGTATACACAAAGAGCCAATAACGCCCCCACACTGAGGCTCGAACTCATAACCTTCCAAATGGAAGTCCAACCCGGATACCATTAGACCACATAGTCCTGGTATATTATATTATTCTTTAATTTGTAGTAAATTTCAAATTTTTTAATGTAATATTATATTCATACAATAGTAATTAATCACACAAGATAATATTACATTATGTAATTTCACTTACCTTATAAAAAGTAATTTAATCATTTTACCTAAAAAAAAATTATATTATATAAATTTTAATTATATTGCTGCTAATGGCCTTGTGCTGCAAATGGGAGGTCATGGCCACCCAACCCTAATGGAGCGGCATTGACTCTTTGTGTCGTAATCAAGTATAAACGCAACTATATATAATATATTGGTTATAAGGATGAATCCGTATTTAATTTACAATAAATGCATTTCAGATACAAAATTTTCAAAAAAAATTTAAAACAAGGTACTAGAAATTAGTAGAGGGTAGGTAAGGTCATTTACTTCACCCTCGCCAATTTTATCTTTAAAAACCAAACTACCCTTTGGCTTTCTCAATATCCCTACAACCAAACAAAGTAAAAGAGAATTGAAATTCTCCCTTTCATTTTAAAAATTTGAAGGAGAAAAAAAAAAGATAAAAAAGGAAATCACGCTATGGAGTTAATGGACGCTGCAATACTTTTGTTGGCCACGGTCTTCCTATGCCTGTGGTGGCGCTACTGGTCTGTCACCGGCGGCGGTCCGAAGAATCTCCCGCCGGGGCCGCCGGGTTGGCCGCTAGTAGGGAATCTGTTCCAAGTCGTGCTCCAGCGCCGCCCGTTCATCTACGTGGTACGTGATTTGCGTAAGAAATACGGTCCCATTTTCACCATGCAAATGGGACAGCGCACTCTGGTTATCGTCACCAGCTCCGAGCTTATTCATGAAGCTCTGGTGCAACAGGGGCCAATCTTCGCCAACCGTCCGGCGGATTCGCCCATCCGCCTCATCTTCAGCGTCGGAAAATGCGCCATCAACTCCGCCGAGTACGGGCCTCTGTGGCGAGCGCTGCGGCGGAACTTCGTGACGGAGCTGATAAACCCTACGAGGATCAAGCAGTGCAGCTGGATAAGGAAGTGGGCGATGGAGCACCATATGAAGAGGATCCGAGACGAAGCTTCTAGAAATGGTTACGTGGAGGTTATGGCCAACTGCCGCCTCACGATATGCAGCATCCTCATTTGTCTCTGTTTCGGTGCGAAAATCTCGGAGGAGCGGATCACGAAAATTGAGAGCATTCTCAAGGACGTGATGCTCATCACGGCGCCGCAGCTGCCGGACTTTTTGCCGGTTCTGACGCCGCTGTTCCGCCGCCAGGTGAAACGGGCCAAGGAGCTGAGGAAGACGCAGCTTGATTGCTTGATTCCTCTGGTCAGAGACCGGAGGGAATTTGTGGAAGGCTCGAAATCGAATCCGGAAATGGTGAGCCCTAACGGAGCTGCTTATATCGACTCGCTGTTCGGGCTCGAACCGGCGGGGCGGAAGCTTGGGGAGGAAGAAATTGTGACGCTTGTTTCGGAAATAATCAGTGCCGGAACTGATACCAGCGCCACCGCGTTGGAATGGGCTCTGCTTCATCTCGTAACCGACCAAAATATCCAGGAAAAGCTGTACAGAGAAATCGTGGAAATCGTCGGGAAAGACGGGGCTATCACAGAGGAGGACGTCGAGAAAATGCCCTATCTCGGCGCCATCGTGAAAGAGACTTTCCGGCGGCATCCTCCCAGCCATTTCGTCCTATCTCACGCCGCCACAAAGGACACTCAGCTCGGAGGCTACACCATTCCTTCCGACGCATACGTGGAATTCTACACCGCATGGGTGACAGAGGACCCCAGCCTCTGGAAAGATCCCGGCGAGTTTCGCCCGGAGAGATTCTTGACCGGCGACGGAGTGGACGTGGACATCACCGGAATGAGGGGAGTGAAGATGCTGCCGTTCGGAGCGGGTCGTCGGATCTGCCCGGCATGGTCCTTGGGTACGTTGCATGTGAACATGATGCTAGCTAAGATGGTCCAAGCATTCAAGTGGGTTCCGGTTCCGGGTAGCCCACCCGACCCGACTGAGACATTTGCTTTCACCGTTGTCATGAAGAACCCCCTAAAAGCACTCATCTTGCCTAGGGCCAAGATGATTATATGACAATTTAATAAATACGTGCCAATTCTATTTCATTATTTAGATCGGATCAGATTTCCCACATTTAAGGACCATCCAGCATGTAAAGAATCAATATAAAAGGTAATGCGATTTAGTTTATTTTATGCATGTCATGTATTAATATTAACGAGTGTTGCAGAAAGTGGTATCAATATATAATAGAATTGAGGATATATGTACCAATTAAGTGTAGTAGTTGATTGTCATGGGGCTTAATTCTATTCCAACTCATCACTTTTTACATAAGGGAGTAACTTGGTACCATTGGACCACAAGATCTTTGGTATACTTGCAACCCTTAATTATACAAATTAAACTACTTTTTAATACCATAAAATTACTTTATAAAATATTCGATATTTTGGTTTACTATCCAATAACCAAAAAATTGAACCAATCGAAAAAATCAGTTCTCGGTCAATTCTAGTTATTTAAAACAAAAAAAATCAGTTTTTTTTTAAGAAAATATTTTGGCTACTTTTTGGCTATTGATATCAGTGACCAAAAAATGGATACTACATGCTTAATTGGTTAGTTTTGTGTATGTGTATGCACACACGCACAATGAAATATGTGTATTTGATAAGCTTGAACTCGATGGGTCTAGACTATTATATATTAGAAAATTTTAACTTTAAGTTTGAAATAGTGTGTGAAAAATAATTTTCAATTTTTTGATAACCAATCAAGATTTTATTTGTCCCTAAATAAATCATTTAAAAATTTTTAAAAATAATTATAAAAATCACCGAAATGATTAATAGACGGTCATAATGAATATAATATATTTAATTGAGCTTGTGTAGTAACAGTGGAATATATGTGCCTATGTTGAATTCCTTTCAATATATCTAACATAAAATTAATGTATGTCGGACACGTGTAGTAATAAGCATCATTATCGATATTGCATGGTACAATTGCTAATTAATACATATCGGTATATGAACCCATGCAAAGTCTTTACGGCAAAGCACGCATCCATATCCTACTGTACTTCCAAGTTCCACCAGTATATCACTGTCCACTACGGCCTACCTACAAATTAAAGGGTAGTTATGCCATATTAAATTTTGAAAAAATTGCATCTTTAGCTCCTGAATTATAATCAAGTTCTAACTCAATCCCTAAGTTATGGTCGTATTCGAGTTTAGTCTCTCAGTTATAAGTGAAATGGTGAGTTTGGTCTCTGAGGCTAGTGGTGGGTTAACAAAGTTAATTCTAGGGATAAAGAAGTAAATTTCTTAATAAAACTTGTAAACTTAGCCAAAATACTTTACCCCACATCGACAAAAATCATAAGTTGCTTATATAATCAGCGAAAAAACCCTACTCCCGTTTTTCTAAAAAATCAAATTTCAAACTAATTAAGGAAAACTTAAAAACAATTTAATAATAGATGGGTAAAATATAAATTTCAAATTATAATCACATTCTTATGTTGAAACTCATTGCGCAACAACCATTCTTTTCTTCTTATACCTACAACCAAAGTCTTTTTCTTCCCCAAGCTTGAAATCTCAAATTCGTCCACTTCCAAGTTGTGAAATTCACAAGTTGTTTCTCTATTTTTTATGTTTAAATAAATAATCAATATTCTCTGTATTGATGAACTAATTTAACAATTAATTATAGGATGTCATCTTTTAGTTGTGGTACTTCATATTTTCCCCATTTTGGTGATAATTTTCAACGTAGATCTGATGATTTATTACCCATTAAAATGTCATGGAGTTATGCTAATCGATAGAAAAGATATCAAGCTTGCCCATGTTATGGAGCAAATTTTATATTTGTCAAAAAAATGTAATTCTAGTTGTTCTTTTAATAAATAGAATTGAAATATTGGAATTTGATTTTTTAGAAAAATGGGAGTAGAGTTTCTTTGCTGATTACATAAGCAATTTAGGGCTTTTGCGGTTTGGGGAAAGTATTTTGGCTAAGTTTACAAGTTTTATTAAAGAATTTACTTGTTTATCCCCGTAATTAACTTTGTCAACACACCATCGCATCAAGGACCAAACTCGCCACTTCGCTCATAACTGAGGGACTAAACTCGGATACAACCATAACTTAGGGATTGAGTCAGAACTTGGTTATACCTCAGGGACTAAAGATGTAATTTTTCATTAAATTTTATATGTACCTATATTTAGACTAAGTCTTATGGCCCACATTATATATATTAATAATTTAAAAATGTTAATTGAAACAAGAGTTCTACTATGCATACTCTCAATTTATATTCATGATGTGTCAAATATTGTTTGGTTATTTTCATTATGTGGGTTTACTGAAAAATATTTACATCAAGAACTTGTGAGAGAGAGTAACAGTTGGGAGTATAAAATAGGAGTTCACTAAGGGTGTGTTCGGTTTGCAAATGGGAATTAGAATCGGAACGAGAATCAAATATTTGATAATTGTATGAGTTTTAGTGAAAGAATTTTGCATGTTTGGTAGTAGGGTGTAATTAGAATGATTACCAATATTGATGTTTGGTTATGTATGGGAATAAAGGTTTTAAAAATACAAGAAATAAAATTTAAAAAAATAAGGCAATTTATCATCATAATATAATGACATCAAAGCATCAATAAGAAAAAAAAATTAAAATAAAAATAAAAAAGCACTAACCAAAACTTAAAAATCACATTACTAATATGATAGAATGATACATATTATAATTATAAAATAAAATTTTTAATTAAAGAAGTAATTAAATCTTATAATTATATTTTAAAAAATTATCAACTAAACACGAATTACGATTTTAATTCTCATTCTTAGTGTGTAGCTTATAATCATGGACCCACTGAATCAATACAGTCACCTCAACGTACTCATTTGAAATTTGACCACAACAGCCAATTTTATGAGTTATTTTTTTATCTTTTAATGACGAGAAAATTTATAAAATTATACAAGGTGTATTGTTATTATTATTTCATGTATATTTTCCAAAGTGGGACAGTGAATGATATGTCAAACTCCATTTACTATTGGAACAGCTAGCGTGGCAGAGGCAGAGTGGGCAGTTAATCACAAAGATTGCTGGTGGTTGGCCGTTATTAATTGGGCTGCTGCTGCTGATCTGTGATGACTGTATGCACAGGAGAGACCACCATGCTCCCTCTTCAAAGGAAAACACTACATGTACTTCCATCCTCCAATCGTTATACCCTGCACCATGGCACACGCAGCATTGTGCGTCCCGCGCCTCCCAAAACAACGTCATTTTAGGGGGCGCGAAAGGGAGTCGACATGATTATGTATTTATACAGTTATGTGTGTTTGTTTATACAATTATGTGTATTTATTTATACAATTATGTGCATTTTTTTATACAGTTATGTAAAACGACGTCGTTTTGCATCAGGGCGCACAATGCAATGCGCGTCCTAGTGCACGATATAAATTGCCCACATTCTCTACTCTCAACTTTTACTCCCACATTTAAAATATTGATATAGACACTTTTACAGGGACCCACATGCATGAAGAAAATAACCTATGAGAGCCCGCCACATCAGAGAGTAAATTTTAAGGAATAAGATTTGGGAGTACATGTAGTAGAACTCTTCTTCAAATAGCTAGTTACCATATCCAGCCACCTTTTCCCGCAGGCTAACTTCAAAGGTGTGTGCCACGTAGAGGACAAACCTCACTCTTATGTAATACCTTACAAATTACACATGAAGGTAAATAAAAAGACTCGTGCCACAAGTTTGAACTGTGAAAATAGTAATTTGTATTTAGTGCTATATTCAACGTGCATGGACACACATCATGTTCAAGTTGAAAAAAGTCATAGAGATCTTGTGCAGGGTGCACCATTGGTGAGGGGTAGTTGTGCTAGAAGGTATGGAACTTGTACGAGAAATACAAATTGGCAAAACTGCATTAAATTAACGTTATACTTATTACTGGTTGGTAAAAACCATTATTATTATTTTTATTTTTTCACACCCAACCAACCTGCATTATCCTTTCGTACTGCTATGCACCAAATAGTCAGTGAGTGCATAAATTCTTTCCACAATAAGTTGAGAATTTTTTTTTTTTTTAACTATATTTAATTGACATCCACAATATAAATTGAGCATATATATTGAGGGTATAATATTAAATATGTATTCGAAAATTTTACATCAATTTTTTTTTTTTTTTTAAAGAAAAGAAAACCTTGTATGGATAAAGGATCGAATTTCATTATTTTTAGCGGGAATGGAATGTGATTCAAAGAAGGTGCAGTAGGTAGTGTTACATTGTAGTATATGTTCAAATATACTTTCGCAACTTATTGAAGTACAAAGAGTCAATACCGCCAACCACCCCCACTGGAGCTTGTAGGCACAATCTTCCATTCGGATGAATCACTTCATGTCATTTGTATCACAATGCTAAGTAATTTAGTTAAGACGTAATTGTAGAAATGTAATGGGTCATTAATGTGAGGTTTAATTTACATTGTTAATGTCTACAAAAAGCATAACAAGGTGGCCAATCACTTGGATTCGGTTTCCAACCAATACTTAACAACCTTCTCATTTATGTTTAACAGATTTTGCGGATGGAGAGATGTTGTGGGTGTACTTGAGCTTTCTAGCTTTATGTTGCTGGTTGGTAGAGTATTTAGTTGATGGGGGTTGGCCCTCCTTTATGCATGTTGATCAATAAATATAAATGAAACATGAATGGTGGCTTTGTGTGTGACTTTTTTTAATACAATGAGAAAACACAACCAAACTACATAAAGCGAGAAAAAGCCACACCAACACTCTCTTTCGCCCTGTTTGGTAAAATGGTTGTTAGTTGATAGCTGTTAGTTGTTAGCTGATTGTGTTAATTAGATGGTATAAATAGTTAATAATATTAGCTGATTATAGAAAAGTGTTTGGTAAATTAAATGTTAGCTGATAGCTGTTTGGTATAATTTATTTTCTCAAAAAGCTAATTGAAAAAGTTGCTTGGAGTAGCATTTTGAATTTTAGCCTTTTGGAGTTGCAAAAAAATAATTAACCAAACATTTATATTGATATTTTAACTAAATTAAACAATTAATAGTGATTAAATAAGCCAAAATTGGCCTATAGGCCAATTTTTTA